AAATCAAATAACAAGTTGTCTAGCTCTCTATCCTGTTCGTGATGCCAATTGTAAAGCTAGGCGACCACAAATACACCAGATGTTGGGCTCTTTTACCTGCTGGTAATCCTGCACAGACTGGGCCGATTGTTGAGCTAGGGCCAGATCTGGAGCCCACAGACCCCTCAAGCCTGTTCACAGACTGGGTCACAAACCCTTCATATGCCAGGCTGGGTCACCAGACCCCACACACTCCAGGCTGGGTCACCAGACCCCTTCACGCAGGTCTATGAGCTAGGTAACTGGCTAAAAGGTCCTTGGAGCCATAGGTTGGAAAGCATGGCCACGTGGGGCAGAAGCCCAAGGCTGATGCCCGCCTGCCTGCTTCACTAAAACTCTCTCTCTCTCTCTCTCTCTGAAGAACACAAGAATAGCGACAAAAATAAAAAGATACATTGGCGCACATGCATACTAACTTCACAGCACACACACACACATACACACACACAATTTGCTTACAATGGATGGCTGCTGAACCACACCCAACTGGACCCAAGGTGAGGGCCTTGACCAAACTATTCTATTTTCCCAGCACAAGTTCAAGTTAACATTCTACTGGACAGCAGAGCCTGAGCCACACCCCAGCATTCAGGTTCTAAAGCCTCCCCTTAACATTATAATAAAGAGGTAGGTAGACCATTGGAAAGGAAACTCACATGATCCAAGTAAAACAACAAATCACTAAGAATGTCTAGTAACATGCTGGGATTTTATATATTAAAAATCAACTCTATTTTTAAAATATAGTATTTTGTAAACTCTACCTCCTTGTCTAACCCCTAAATAGTGATTGTTAGGTCATAACTTCATTATTTTAATTTTTATTTATTAATAGCAATATTTAATATTTAATTTAACAAATATTACAAAGTATTTACTATTCAAAAACTCTGGTCTCCAGGAGAGACAAAGATGTACAAAGCGAAATTCCTGCCTTTAAACACATTATGATCGAGTAGAAGAAACAGCAAAAATTCACAAATTATAAGGCCATATATATTTTTGTTGGGGTGATAAATTATGGTTGACTGAATGTTCCTAGATTAAGTAGAATGAAGACACTAGTGAATGGGAAGCTTGTGAAGAACACGTAGGACAGTACTGAAGTATAAGACCAGAGAAGAAATTGACGAGGAAAACACAGCTACAAACTAATGAAAATCTATTTCATCTTTTGGAACATTTTTATTTTTCCTCAGAAATATGGCTTTTGTCTTTAATATATGCCATTATTCTCACTTTGAATAAATTTGTGATTATTTGGATTCTCTGGTTTATAGCACTTTTCTAAAACACACTGTATCAAATAGGAATATATACATAAATGTAGGTGGAGGCATTTTGGTAAAAGTGAGTGAAAATATGATCGAGTGAC